TTGTTGTCGTGCACTAACTCATCGTTGTCACTGCTGCTGCTTGTTCTGGCGGGCATTGTCGTCATTGTTGCGGTTGCGGTTGGTATTGTGGTTGTGGTGGCTGTGCGTGGGTGGTGGTGGTGGTGGTTGTTGTTGTTGTTGTGGTTGGTGGTGACGGCAGCGGTTGTTGTCATCGTGGTTGTGGTTGTTGTTGTGGCTGTCGTTATTGTTGTTGTTGTTGTCGTCGTCGTTGTTGTGGTTGTGGTTATTGAACGTATTGCCGTGGTTGTGGTTGCGTTTGGGGTTTTATGGTTGTCGTTGCGTTTGGGGTTTTATGGTTGTGGTGGTGGTTGCAGTTGGGTGTTGGGCGGTTGTTGTTGTTGTTGTTGTTGTGGTTAGGTGACGGTGGCGGTGGTTGTTGCTGTTGTTGGTCTAACAGTTGGGTGTTGTGTTGTTGTGTGATGTTGTTTGTGTGCTGTAGTCATGATGATAATTGGATGTGTTGTTGTCGGTGATGTTCACTCTCGTTTCCACAGCATCTTCTCCACCAATCTTCTGTGCCCTGTCTTCTGCTCCAATCCCATTTTCCATCTTCTCCTCCATTATTATTATTATTATTATTATTATTATTTTTTTTTAATATTTAGGAAGAGGAAATGGATCTGGGAATCTGGGAATTCAACTGCCGGTCCCAACGGAATTGTACGATCAACATTGGGGTCCAATCGCTGAAGTTCAATAATCGCGTAAAAGGTTTTTTTTTTGAAGCAGAGTGGTTCCTTCCACTGGCAGGCAGCTCTAGGTCTTCTTCTTCCCGCTTTTTTGCCACTGCACCTTGCCCAGTTTTCCACCCTGGTGCTCCCCAAGCCAGCATAGATTAAATTGTTGAATGTGCTGAAGTTTTTTTTTTTTTTTATGAAAGATGCCTATTTTTTTTTGCTTTAAATTTGGTCCATTTAAATGCGATGATCTCTGTTTGTACCTGTTGCTTAATAATTGAATCTGTAAATTCCAGAGTCCAGACCATCCAGGTGTGCCCCTTCCATTACATCTCCTCATCCATATAATTGCGGTTAAATTGCCCATAAGACAGCTCGTCTTTCCCTTTTTTTTTTTTTTTTTTTTTTAMAAAAACTTCATATCCAGGAGATCCCACTTAACGAGGTGATAAGAGCAGCCCCGCTAAGTGGGTCCCGACGTAGAAGGAAGGCTCCATCTATTGGTGGGGAGCTAAACCTGCTGGAAATCGCGTCCAGCGTCTCTGTACAATAACATGTGTAAGCTGGAAATCGGGTCCAGCGTCCCTTATACTATGATGTCAAAAGAGACCCTGCTCAACACAACACCAGTAGTACTATGTGGAACTCTTCAACACTTAGTTTAGCAGAAGAGAGGAGAAGTTGTAGCATTGCCAGGGCAAACGAGGGCCGAATGAGATCAACATTCCGACACAAACCCTAAAAAGTTAGCCTAAAACGCGTCAGACTCTCCCATTTCTGAGATTTAACACTACCACCATGAAAGAGGGGAGCGCCAATAGGTAGAGTAAAATGATCTCATTAGCAGATGAGCAATTATGGAACTTCAAGCGCGAACTTCCAAACAGCAAACCTACATCACGGCTCGTGGAGTTGGTATATCAGCACTGTCGATCAACCTGGAAGAAAGCATGGGTTATCTGTGATGAAGAATTCAAAAGGTAAAAGATGAAAAATGGATGGCAATCGACAGAGGAGGGGACAGCGAAATAGGGCTCCCCAACTCGCAAATCTCAATAACCTTTCCTCCGGATAGGGAGGAGAGAACAGAGCTCCCCAGCTCGCAAATCTCAACGAGCTTTCCTCCGCTATCCATTCCTGCTTACCCAATACCTAATCGCACCATCCCCACCACCTTCAAGTTGGTGAGTGAGGCTGTCGACGATATGGAGTCCTGCCAGCCATCATCAATACGAGACCCTAGGTAGCCCCAGAAGAGACCAATACTAGGAAACTCCAAACGCGTACCTGTACCAAATTCATTAGCATCAGCCACATCATCAAAGGAAGGCAGGGCGCAGCGAAACCGTCCTGTGCTCGAGCCATCAAACGGGATGTATCCTCCTCCCCTCCCAGCAGAAAGCCGAACAAGGAGGGGCGACAACTCCGTTCGCGCCCCGCAGGGAGAGAGCGTAGCACGAGTATTGTTGATGTTGATGTTGTTGTTGTTGTAATTGTCGTTGTCGCTGTCATCGACGTTGGAGTGATCGGGGTTACCACCCGCTGCGATGATGCAGGTGCCGCTCGTGCCGCCGATGCTGTCCTCACGTCTACCAGGCTCACCTTCGCCAGTGCACTCGGTGCAGTCCTCGCAGCCACCAAAGTTGTTGGTATTATTGCTATTGTTGTTGTTATTGTTATTGTTGTTGTTGTTGTTGTTGTTGTTGTTGGCGGCGGCGGCGGCGGCGGTGGCAGTGTTATAGTCGCCGTCAATGATGCAGATGCCGCCAAGGTGCCGCTCGTGCCGCCGATGCTGTCCTCACGTCTACCAGACTACCAGGCTTACCTTCGCCAGTGCACTCGGTGTGGTCCTCGCAGCCACCAAAGTTGTTGGTATTATTGCTATTGTTGTTGTTGTTGTTGTTGTTGTTGTTGTTGTTGTTGTTGTTGTTGGCAGCCGCGGCGGCGGCGGCGGCGGCAGTGTTATAGTCGCCGTCAATGATGCAGATGCCTCCAAGGTAACCTATGCTGTCTTCCAACTCCGTACGGAGGCCGGCACTCTCTTCAAAGAGGGCATATCAGACATTCAGCAGCTCATCTGCCTGGCTCCAATCAATGAATCAGATGAGATTGAGATGAGAAGCTGGCCCCTCTTCCAGTTCCCATCGCCAGCATGTCCTGGCTGCTACCAGCCAGCCAGACAGACAGTGAAATCGCCCCCTTGTCAACCTCCGTCCCCGGCTGCTTTTGGAGAGGCAGCTCACCTACGATCAGCTGCAGCCTCCGCCGGGCCCTTTCCAGAGTACATAACCACACCGCTGCTCCACGACGTAACTCTCCGGGTGAAACCATAGTCGATCGAACAGACTATGCCGCTTAACTTGCAAGGTAGTCGATGCAATCTCACGGCCGGCGCTACCGCTGCTTACGCGTCACGGTGCCTCTACGACACCAAACAATAGGTGCGCCTTGTCGAAGTCGAGAGTGCCATGTGTCCTCTTGGGCGCGTACGCAGGCCTAGCAACCACGGGGCCCTGCTCCCCGGGTGCTAGTCGAGCCAGTGACAACCGTGCCGTGCCGGTTGGCCTGCTGCGGGGCGCTAGCGCTAGCGCAAGTGCAGTCCCTCCAGGGTTAACGGGCTGGGGTGAGGACAGCTCGTCGTTCTACAATGAAGAGATTTAGAGTAAAGTCGTCCACCTGGCTCGGGTTCCATGTTTGCCTTTTTTTTTTTTTTTTTTTTTTTTTTCCCCTTTTTTTTTTTTTTGTAATGTTTTAGTTATGAAATTTGGACCATTTCTCAATGTGTACTTGTGTCATCCTTGCTGCCTCGCACAGGCACCATACTAATCTGCTCTCTCTATATCGTTCCAATTCAAAATTTTCGAGAGGACATCCTGAACTTCTCTTTCAATTGTTCGCACATTTTAACATTGATTGAAATGCTTGAAATGGTTACCGTCTTCGCCCGAATACAATGTACGGTCATTATTTCTGTATCTAGACTCACGGTTGAAATCATGTACTGACAGGGGTTTTCCGTGGTGTTTGGTGTGGGCCCTTGAGCCCGGGCCTGTTTTGTTTTGTGTGGGTTTGGCTCGGAACGGGAACTTCCTTTTGATTGAGCACCTTTTTAGATCTCCTTGTTTTTGATTTCGACAGGGGTGTTCCGTGGTTTGGTGTGGGCCCTTGAGCCCGGGCCTGTACTATTTGGAGTGGGTTTGGCTCAGAACGGACACACCCCCCTTTTTTTCTTTTTTCTTCTTTTTTAGTATCGATAGCATGTCTTTTCTGTAGAATTTGGTGTGGGCCCCTGAGTCCGGTTTGGACTCGAACCGATAACATCTTTGTTGTAGTACCTGTACTTTCGGTTTTCAGGATAGCCCCGCTTTTCTTGGAACGACAACACCGGGGAACGCGCAGTACTTAAGTATTGATTGTTCTGTAGATGTCCTCTTTCGGTCGGCGGTCTTTCCATGGCATACGCCTGGATGGACTGCTGTGGTAGGCGGAATGATCGGTGGTTCCTGGGTGTTGAGGAAAGTTTGAACGTTGACCGACGTGTACTCTACTCAATCATGCTGTCTACGTGTGGTGTGTATCGTGTGATGTGGTTTTGATTTACTCAATGATGCTCATTATGCATTTCTGCTCATGATGTATGACATCCTTCATAGACCGTACGACATATTTGCAGTCGGTGAAGACGGTGGTTCTTGCATATGCGTCAGTGCCGTCGGCTGCTCTATCTGTGATGCAGGTGCTTCTCACTGCACAGCACATCGTAAAAGACGGATGACTCAAGTCTCCTTCGGGGCATCCATTAAAATTGGAAAGGTACAGAGAGAGAAGATGATTAGCACTGGCATGGCCCCTGCGCAATGACGACACGGCATAATTCGAGAAATGGTTAACCACCCCCGCCCGGCGTGCCCCCCCCCTCCCAAAAAAA